GTCCAATATGTTTAAGGTTATTATTTGTACTAGATGTCTTCTGATATGAGATTCCTTTTTAGGATGTTGTTGCTCAGATCTGATCACTCTCGTCAACTGATTATTTTGAGGTCGCATTGACTTCCAACATCTCAACTATATTCTTGCCTCTTTTATCGCGTAAAAAAGAAAGAACATTCTCATTTCATGATTTCCATGCAATAAGCATTCTCAAATGTTGCTTCGATGATCAACAAAGTCCTTGTTAGCCGACTCTATCCAGAAAAATTCTCTTCCTGATTGACAGCATCCAATCGGCTCCATTAATAATCATCGTCTTGTGTTGAAAAAATCACTGCATCCCTCCAAAATCCAATCAGAACTCCATTCACCAGGGTAGACTTTGAAAATCTGTCTTTGTTGGTCTTTTCTTTTCAAACCCTCAACGTGCGAAGCTTTGATACAAAATGGAGTAAACCATCTTGCAACTCCCTTATCCTTATCAGTAACCACGAATAACATATATATTGTTAGTGAGGTCTTCAACAAGGGGACCAACTCGTATCTTTTCATTTTGATGTCTGACCTTCACAGCACACTAACGGAAGATTCATAAAAGAAATTAACAAAAAGGAAAGAAAAATGAATGATCAGTCATGGCTTGGAGACATTGGGTGTTCAAGACTTGGGTGTGCATGAAATGATTCTAATACACATAACTTTACATTTGAAGCGTTGATCAGTCATGGCTTGGAGACATTAGCCGCTTGTGATTAAGTAGATAAACATCATTCTTCTTTTAAAAGTCTCATATCTCCGCCAAGATGGTGGCCTCATCCCCGTTAACTCCGTCTTTCCTCAGTCGCTATCTACTTCATGTTTTCTATCATTTTTCTCTGTGTTTGTTGCATAGAAGTTGGGAACTTGGGACGCCATAGAGAATCATGACCTAGGTTATTGTTCCAGATTCGCGTGGAACACGACCCAATTTAGAATTCATACTAGTTAAAGTTTTGGGAAAAAAACTCTTTTTTAAAAGTGTAAAATAAATAACAAGAAATGCGAGAACTTTATTAGAAGTATGCATACCTTATTGCAACATGATTCTCAAATTTTTTCAAGTGTTACCATTTGTGATATCAACTAGCATATTTCTTAAAGTTGACTCTTGCAAAACCTCTAATTCCTACATTTAAGAACTGAACCTAAAGCGTACCACATACCTAGCGTGTCATATAAGTCTACCCACCTCATATCCAATTCCTAATGGGCGGTGTACCATGCTTCCATACCTGTCCATCTCATACCCAATTCCTAATGCCATGCTTCCACACCCGTCCTGTGAACTGGATGAACGGGGTTCCATGCAACCGTGGTTTATTGCATTCTATTGTTAAAATCTACAAAACATTATTTCAGAAATAAGTAAATTCATTGTGAACTTAGTCTTCCAAATTACTATTTAACCTTAGCCATCTCAAGATATCTTTTGTGCCTCACAACTACTACTGGAAATCTTATATTCATGATTCCACTACATTGTTTTTGGATGTCTCCTCTTTTGGAATGATGTGGCAAAACCACTTTCTTCAAATGCATTTGGGTCTTGATGAAGCTGGTAGGGCTTCATCTCCATTTAGCGTGAAACAAATACCGGTGAAACTACTTCATTACATTATTACTTTTTTGAATGTGCATGCATGGAACCCTTATGTTTATGTGCATGAAACATTGATATTGGTGGTTGTAATTCCTCGAAGTTGAATGATGATTGTGAATTTTTAATTTGTTCACTATGTCAATCTCTCAATTGGCTAAATGTCACTTGAGCTCATAAGGACTGTCTGTCCTTGTATAGAGAAGCAAATGAGGGGGAAAATAGAAAATATTGTTCCTTAAATTTTTTGAAAGATAAAAGGTAAATAAAACTATCCCTTTCCTTTTGAGTTAATTATCTTATTTATCTTCTACACTTTAAACTTCAAAAGAGAGAAAAATATTAAAAAAGTAGAAGCAAAAAAGGAAGAAGCAAAAAAGATATCAACAAATCATTTAAAGGGTGTACAAACACGTAATTAGTCATTAAAAAGTATAAACGTGATTCTACTTGTTCTTCGTCCTATATTGGAAGGTTTGAACATGAAGAAATTTATCAAGACACATAAATGATTGAAGGAAGATGCATATATATTTATGAAAATGAAACAACATCTTTCCCTTATACAGTGATGCAGAGATGGGAAAAAGAGAGGGAGAATAAAGATTTATTGAACCAGTTGTAAATTGTATAGAGAATGGAATTGAGAGAAAAGTAGTGTCTTAGTAGAACCCTAAAATTCCATAGAGATGAATACAATACTTTTCAAATGTAGATAACAATATTTCAAGTGACAAACATATTATATTGGATTTTAAACAAGCTAAATGATCCGTTTAAAACTGTGATAACCCAAAATGGTATAGTCCTACATCAGTTTTCTATGTGAATGTAGTTAGTCAAGGAAGTCAGGTATTAACAATAGGTAGCACTTTTAGCGGTGAATAGAAAAAAAAACTTGTTTCACTCAATGGGTCACAGCGCTTATATAATGCCAATAGGCACATGTGCCTGATGAAGCCTAACAAATAATACCATAGCAGTCAACCAACCGGAAGTGTGAAACTAGGTTTTATGTGAGACTAAGTGTTACATTGTGTAAGGGCAGTGAGAATCACCTCTAGAACCCATCGGAGCTACCTCTAGAATCCACTTTGCTAGATGGTGATCATGAATGGATTATTGTCATGGCATGATGAGGATGTCATCTAATTAAGGTGGGATGATCGTGATACCTCAAAATGGTGTAGTCCCGCATCAATGTGTGTTCGAATATAGATGGGTTTATATAATTAGTCAACGGAGTCATGTAGCAAAAATAGATATCAGTTCTTGCGCTGGATTGAGCCAAACAACATGTTTCACGCAGTGGGTCGTAGGGGTTGAATAGGACCAACAAACCCGCGCAGGCCCGTGGCGTGAAAGAATCTGATCAATATCATTGATATTGCCTAATACAACTAAAGGAATTGGCCAATAATGTATACTTTACAATGGCAATCTAAGGTTCGAAATACAAAGAAGCTGCTTTCTAGTGGTACATTAGGCAAAAATACAAAATTAGTAAAACCCAATGTATAGACACTTCTCATATTTCTCAAATCAATAACTTGGATCCAAAATTCTCAACTACCCACACTCCATACACCAATAAAGATGAGTAAAAGCCATAAATACTACTAAGATTTCGAAGTCTCAGACCTTCTTATTGTATGATTGGACCTAATATGGATTGAGAACTATTAGGTTGTGAAAAAATTAATGTTTAGAGGTTTGTTTGGCAACTTGAAGGTGATGATAAAAATGTGAATGATACAATTTCAAGACACAAATAAAGGAGATGAAAATGTGGAAAGATATAATTTCGAGACAGAGAAAGGATATATTCCATATGGATTCCACGCATTTATTACTTTCACATTTTCATCTCACCCTTTCTCTTTAGTATTGAAAATCCCTGATTTTCATTGCTTTTTATTTTCATCGTACATGTACCTACTCATTGCTTTACATATCCCCAATATATTCGATATATCCTTTTATAAGTCTTGCCACAGAATGATATGGTCTCCATATCTTTTACCGCATTTTTGGCAAATTTTGGGCAATAGATATCCCCGACATGGCAAATATATCAGCCGACATGTCCTTTTATATGGTTTGTTGCAAAACAATATAGTTCTGCGGAATTATTTTTTAATTTTTTAGGAAACATTCTAACGCTATGAAGTTTTTAGCAACTTCTAGAAGGCGCTTTTCCCTAAGTTTCTATAACTGGTTCGTCAAAAGATATATAATCTGCATATTTGTGTGCTTAGATTTTATTAAGTATGTTTAAATTATACTTTTAGGGCATTATATTATATATGCAAATCATATGATATGTAACCACAATATTTACTACATATCCTCGATATTTTCCCGATTTCCACCATCCGATAAGGATTTTCACTGCCCAGTATTCCCCGATATTCGATATTTAAAACTTTGCTCCTACCTGGCATCTTTTTCACACTTCACCTTAGTGTGCCAAGTATCTTGTCTCCTTAACGTCTTTCTGATGTCCTCTTAATGTTTGTCAAAAGTGGTTCTGTTCACATATACACCTTCACTTTCAGATTGCCAAACACCTCCTGTCATGACAACAGTATTTCTACGACTTGACTTTTTAACTTTAGTTTTAGCGCATGACTGATCATGTTGTACACATTTTGGAATAAATATATAAAGAACACACAGAATGATATTTACAACTGATATTTTGGAAGTTTCTGATGGGTTGAACAACTGACCAATAATTTCAGAGTTTTTGTCTCATTTTATTTTAATCATTCATCGTTCATTGTGCATGGAGACATCTTGGGATTTTTAGATTTCCTTGAAGTTTTCCAAGTCTAACTCTATGTATCTGCATCCATGCTTAAAGATGTCGTAACAGTAAGGTAAGTTTTTAAATTTCCCTACCCACCATATGATCGTTTCTAGTTTATGGAAGGTGCTTTCTATTTCATAATCACTAGGAGAGGGATTTAAAGATTCAATGGGTGGAGTCAGGAAGATAAGTGGTCATGGAAAAAGTCATAAACTTGATCCATCTTATGTTCAGTGCCTTAGTAGATTGAGCACATAGGTATCTGATGCACGTGAATAAGGTACTTTCTTCCAATATTGTTTGCTTTTAGTATGCATGCTCGATATGATCCCATATTTCAACTATAAGTGGCATTTCCTATTATTGCATAAAAAAATGAGAATCTTGTATCTATTAAAAGCTCTTCTTCTTTAGCTATCTTAGCAGTCGTCTTATGTACCTTAATTTGTTTTTTCCATTATAACATAACTACGTGTACAGTTTTTTCTCGTAGCTCCAAATTGTTGACTTAATATTTTACATCGTTCTTTACTCTCTTTCTTAATACTACAGTTTCAGATCCATTTGCAAATTGAACAAATTGTGTCGATGGTGGTAAAAAGCTCAGACACAATTCGCGATATTAAATCAAAGGTTTTTGCACGGGAGGGACTGGCAGCGAGTGACCAAGAGTTATTTTTTGAAGGCAACCACCTAAGTGACACATCGAAGACACTAGCTGACTACAACATCTCCCAAAATTCCATGATCAACCTTTTGTTTGGAGGCACTATGCAAATATTTGTAAAGATCCTTTCAACTGGGAAAACTTTGAAGCTCGTAGTAAACGACAAAGATACCATCCAAAATGTGAAGGCTAGGATTGAAGCTATGGAGGGAATTTGTCAGAATCGTCAAGGACTCATCTACATGGGAAAATCTCTTGAAGATAACCCTTCATTACTTGCTTGCAATATACGAAATGGTTCAACCCTTCAGATGATTCTATGTCCAGTGGATAAGTTTGATATCTTACTCTGCACAATGAATGGGAATCTTATAAAACTTGAAGCAAGTTCTTGGTATACTATCCGAGATATCAAGCTGATAGTTGAGGGTATGAAGGATATTGATGCAACCAAACAAAGGCTTTTTTGTGATGTCACAGAGCTGGAGGACAGCCTCATGCTTTCCGAATGCAGAATATTCGATCGGACAATTCTTCACTTGCAAGTTGACATGTAGATATTGATCAATATTTGGAATCGGAGGACTATCACATTAACGATTGATAGTGAGGATTTCATTGGTTCGGCCATTCGGAAGATTGAAGAAGAAATGCCTGTGAGCTTCTGCATCAATTAATCAACCCTATCTTTGGAAGTATGAGATCAGCTACTTTAAAACTTCTGGTGACGTTTGTTCTGGTCTTTCGAAGGTAATAACGTATTGGGATGTTTTCAAGTTGTTAAAACAATAATCTTTTGTCTTTCCTTTTATGTGCAAAAAACTGGAGCATGAGGGAGTTTATGGAAATCTATGCTAATGGTTTTGATTGTTAAAATTTCCCTATATCTTCACTTGTGTTTCAACATGTGGGCATTTTATGCGTTGTGTTTCTCTGCAGAGTGTAATACTGATGTTTCTATGATTTTTATCTCAACCTCAATTGTAAGCTTGGCGTTTAGCTTCAAAGTTGCTTTCTTTTTCATGTTACGTTTTAAGCACATATGGATAGTTAGTTTTGGTATTTTTGATTGCACATATTACATATAGGACTACTCCTACGAAATGAGCCAGCTGAAATCATTGTCTATTCTTCTATGTTTTTTCTCCTTGTTCTGTCCGTATGGCACTTTATTCATGCTCATAAACTTACACAGCAAGAATGGAGTCCATCAATAATCTTTTCCAGGAAGGATGCTAATGAAAACTTCAAGAAAAAAGTGTGGGAATGATATTAATGTTGGATGTCAAAAGAATCAAAGAAAGAGCTATCAAATTAAAGGTATAGTTGTGAAACCTTGGGCTTCTCTTTGTCGAGAAACCATCCGGTGGGTATGACCCGACATTAAATGTGCACCCAAAGGATGTCAACTGTTGAATCTGGACACGAGAATCTTGAAATCTAATGATCACAGTTTTACATTATTTAGGTGCACATTTTATGATATGGGAGTGAGTGCAGTTAACATTTTTTTACCTTTTTCTCTCACATAAAGATTTCAAGTGCGCTTAGGTCCATAACATTAGACGTCCTTCAAATGAATGTTAGCCTTTATGTCATTAGATTTTGGAATTTGTCCACAAATTTAAGGGTTGACAACTTGGCGTCCTTTAGGTGCATCTTTATTGCTATGTACCATTCATACTAGATATTCTTTAAGTTAAAATGTTAAGTTTGTGAATCATCATTTGCCATCTATGCAAATATCTGAACTATGATCATTTTTTGGAAAAATTGCTTCAAGGCCCCAAACTTGAAAAAACAATGTGGCCCAGCCCCCTGTAGTTTGGCCCATGTGGCTAAGCCCTTAAATTTTCAAAAAATTATAACTGAGCCCTAAAAGCAGTTATCACACCCGTATTTGCACCCAGCCTCCCTAAAATACCCCCGCCTTCAACTCCGTGCCTCGAAAACGAGATCCGATCGCTGGCGAAACCTCTCCGTCGCATTTAAGGCGAGATGATGGCCGTTTTGGGGGGAAATTTTGGCGCGCTCCCTCCGTTATATCTCCTGTTAACCCACTCGGCTTTGAAGAGATTGTATTTATGGTGCAAAGAGCAGATCTTTGCGGTTAGGGCTTACGATCTTCAGCCCCCTACTTGTCCTAAAGTGCCCTTCATAACTCCGAACTTAAACTCAAAAAAGAGGTTGAAGAATACCCTTGAGAACACTGCTCTCTCACCCAAGGAACCATGCAAATAAGGGGGCTCTCCGCCATAGCATGAAGGATTTAGA